TAAAATTTTTATTTGGGATTACAAAAATGTTTGACCTGGGTGATGATGTAACTGCCGATGGTTCAATTAAACAATGCTGGAGATCCATGGCGATGTGCATAAGCCTGGCTTGGTAGCCAGAGATCTCCTTGCCCCTTGCCAATTCCATGGTTCTGCTTAGTATCTGCTAAGCTCTTATAGTTTCCTTCTAATTTAAAGTCTGTGTAATTGGTTTATGAAGTATGTTTACTTAGGGGAGCACATTTAATTAATATATGATGAAATTTTTGTTATGTGTTAGTCCTAGACATCAGAGAATGTGTATCTAGTCCTTTTTGTGTTTCTTCTATTCCCATTCCTGTTATTTCTGGACAAAAATGAGCAGAAAATGAGGATATTCTTTCCATTCAGTGAGATACTCTTTTCACTGAAAGATATACTGTACAAGAGTACAAAGTGAGCTTACCAATCTCTAGCTTTTAGTCAACCTTTCAAAATGTCTGAAATTTTAAAAAAAATAATCCAGATTTATGGATAAAACCATTTAAGTGTTTAAGATTATGAAAAAATTCAATTCTTTCTTTAAACTAATTAATAATACAAGAAAACATATGTAAGAGACCTTTGCACATTCCTAGAGCCCTTTAGGGGAAAAAGTCACAATACAAAGTCTTCTATACAAAAACCCCAGTTTGCTACCTAATTCAACAGAAGCAGAAGCAGAGACACCCATGTGATGTTCCTTGTAGTGTTATACACAGTAACATTTGTAAATTATTCAGATAAAAACTAGTGATTAAATGCTGGGGATTTAGCTCAGCGGCACAGCACCTGCCTGGCAAGCACGAGATCGTGAATTCAATTCCCGGCACAGGAAAAAACAAACAAACAAAAAAACTAGTGATTAATTCAATAAATTACGTGCAGACATTTAAGATGACAGAACATGCCAAAAAGATAATTAGGAAGAATGAATAGAAATATATAAACACTATGATGATTAATTTTTATGAGTCCAGTTGACAGGCCTTGGGGTGGCAGAGCATGCGTTATATCTGGCCTGCCAGTGAGGAGGCTTCTGGGAGCTGAGGAGAGAAATCTTCAAATCAGTGGACGCAGCAGCTGCTGTCCCCCAAATTTGGGTGTTACTCAATCCTCTGAGAGTCTGAAGAAAGCTAAATCAAAGAAAGGAGGAATTCTCCTGCTCTTTGGCCCCACTAGTTGAGCTGGGTGTCTCATCTCTCTCTCTGCCCTGTTTACACTGCTAACTCCCCTAGTTTCAAGACCTTTGGATCTGGCCTGAAGCACACCACAGGCTTTTTTGGGTCTTCAGCTTGTAGGTGGCTAATTGTGAGACTTCTGAGCCTCCATAATTCATTAGGTGATTCACGGGAGTCTTGCTGTTTATCTGTACCTAGTGCTGGTTCTGTTTCTCTGGAGATCAGTAGCTCATGTTAAGTGAAGGCATGTTATGTGCCAGCCTGGATAAGTACTTTAGAAATATTGGTCCATTGGTACTCAAAATCTCATGAGACAAGCACTAATTATTTTCCATACAGTATGGATGAAGCACAAGGGTATAAAACTTTTTCCAGGACCAAAGAGCTAGGCAGTGACAGGGTAAGAATTTGAAGCCAAGGTGTATGGCATGGAACACAAGTACCTTAACACTACTTGTGTTAGTCAGCTTTACAGTACTGTAACAAACCTCCGAGACAATCTTTTTAAAAAGAAAAGATGTATTTGGGATCATAGTGTTAGAGGTATCAGTCCATGGTTGTTTGGGCCTATGGTATCATACAATGGTGCAAAGAGCAAAACTACTTGCTTTCTGGTGGGGAGGAGCAAGAGAGAGAGCAAAGAGAGACTGTATTCTCATTACCCTCCTCAAAGTCACCTGAAGGCCTCCCACCTTGCCTCACTTCTTTTTTTTTTATCTTTCCAAAAATTTTATTTTAAAGAGAAAAAAAAAAAACAATGATACCGAATTTCAAAATATGGTAATAGATTAACAATGGTTAACACATTACATATTGTTATCTCAAACTAGTTGCTCAGTTTACAAGATATAGGCATGAAAAATCAGTCAAACAATATAAGCACAAAACATTCTTTACAATGAACTAGTAGAAGTCAGACTTGCATGTGTAAACACCGTATTGTCTCCCTAGTACGAGAAATCAAGCGAGTAAACAAGACCCAAAGTGTACAATAGATATTGTGAAGGAGAAAGAAACTGTTCAAAAGGAAAGAACAACTGGGAGGGGGGAAAGGAGAAAAAACAGAAGGGGAAAGAAAATCTCTCTCTGTCTCTCTCTCCCTCTCTTTGTATATACAAGACAGCTAACTTCCTTTGATTTTTAGTCTGTGAGTGT